TAGTCGCCAAAAAGACCCTATATTTAAACGGTTGCTCTTACATTAGTATAATAAACAATACCACTCTTGGTACTGTTTAAATGGACGTCTGTCAATCTAGTCTAATTTCGGCACCGTTTAAATATGAAATGTCAGTTGTACAGAAAAAAATTTTGAAATAAAATTCTGGTAGGAAGATCTTAGAAAAACTAACAAATCATCATGTTTTTAAGTTGTAATATACGATTAAATTCTATCATTATAACTATAATTCACTATATTTTATTAGGTTGTAGCGCGTACAGGTCAAACAACATATACAGGAGTAATTGATGCGGCTAGAAAAATTTGGCGTGAAGAAGGTGGTCGGGCATTCTGGAAGGGATCTGGTGCTCGCGTATTTCGATCTAGTCCACAGTTTGGAGTGACACTTTTATCATATGAAACACTTCAAAGATATCTCAACTTTGATTTTGGTGGAAGGTACTTTTCACATTTCATCAGCCTTTTCTCTTTTTGTATATACTTCTTGTCCATTTTTTCTCTCGTCTTTGATTTCGCTTAGTCGTAAACTTTTCTGTACATTTGTGTTATATTTCAGAATTAATAACCCAACCCACATGTGACGTAGTGTAATATACTTCAATATACATCAATAAATAATAGTTTAAGGAACTTTGACCTCGCTGAGAATTATCGAAGATTTTTTTATAATCTCCCTATGATGGTTATGGTCATGAGTCATTGATATTCCAAAAAAAAATTTTATAATAGTCGGTATTGTTAATAATTTATATGATGTATTTATGTCAACGAGTCTTAGTAGTAACCAATACGTATTTTGCTGCTAGAATTTTATTGGTCAAGTTACATTGTAATCTTTAGTATAAGTGACTCGACAGTCTTACGTAATAATTTAATGTTATTTGGTTAGATATGATAATAGGTTAAAGGTTGAGATCTTGATTGGCATGATTTATCTCTGATTATTATATACTAACCATATATTATTTTTTTAATTAGTTCTTCAATCTATTATTTTTTCCCATTGATAATTTTACCATAAACCTAAAATTTACTCATCATTCGAAAATTAATCTGTTTTTTTAGAGAACTCTCTGGTAAACCAATTAATTGTCATACTTCAGTATTTCCAACTAATCCTGATCATATTGGCGGTTATCAATATGCAACAACCACATTTTGTGGTATTGAATCACGTTTAGGATTATGCTTTCCAAAATATGCATTGAATTAAAATGAAATGTTTTGTTAATTTGTGCGCCTTCATAATTCAATCTCGGTCCGAAATTCTTATATTTTTTTTCTATTGAATTCCTTTTTTTTATTTTTATCTGATGTGACAATAATGATGGGTCCTTTCTGTAAACTGTATTTTATTACAACTCTCAGGTGAACTAGGTTTTGCATAGAAAGCATATTCTGTAAAGGTATTAGATTGGTTACGATAAGCAAACTATCCATATTCATATACATATACACAACCTTTAACGTAATATTTGTCTAACATTTCCTCTGTTCATAAATGTTGTAATGGCTATCAAAAAGTATAGGATGTATTCACATTTGTTCGCCTTGTTCTCTTTCTATCCTTAACTTGCTTTCTTTTCCTGTATTCACTATGGACATCATAAGACTACAATTGCAAAGTTCGTTTTATCTATGTTATTTTTTTTCTTTTTTGTCATATCTATGAATAAAGTATTCTGTTATTTTGCATTCTCTAGCATTATGGTGTTTATGGTTCTTTTTTCTTTTCTGTTTTATTACATAAATCTCTCTTCTGATCCAAAGTTTAACAGTATACTTCCAACGGTCATTTCGCTAATTTATAGTGTTATTTTATTCCATCTCATTGTATTAATATATCTTTTAATTGTACAATCGACAGTATATTAATATTTCTGTTACCTTTCCTGGATTATTACTGATACTGTTACATCATCCAATATTTTTTAGGGGTAATGACATCTAAAGTAACTTAAGATTATTGTTTCCAAATTTTTCACAATTTTATTTTATATTAATTATGAACAAGTATTTCTCAGCAAATGTAATGACTACAATTGTACGTATTATTTCCTTACTGTTGTACTTAATTTTTCTGCATAAAATGTTTAAATAATGGTGTGACGTGTTTTCATTTGGATTTTTTTAAATTCTTTCTACCACAGTTATCTAAACTGTTGTACTTTAAGCCTTTGCGTCACATGCTCGCATTATGCCCATACGCTTATCTGAATGTTTACAAGGGGAGTACCATGCAACCACAACATCTTCAACGTAAATTGAAATTGTTAGTAACACCTACTCTTAACTAGTAATGCAACTATCTACATAGTATTAACCATTACATCGGAAACTGAATTCGCAATAAACAAGTATTCTAACATTTATATCCAATTCAATTTTAAATTATCAATCATTTGATGACCTATACCAACCAGTTGAAAGATCCAACCCAACTCTAAACGTATCATTATGGTAGGGGGAATATAATCAGATTTTAATTTAGGGACATTGTTAAATAGTAAGACATCATCCAACAACATTTTTCATTGTCTCTTTTTTAAGTGTTATGCACTTCTTAATATACTGTTCATGTAACACATTTCACTAAATTTATTGGAATAATTTTACTAATGTGGACTTCTATGAATTTAAACAGCGTCTTATTCACCCGATTCAAAATAATCAGTTATTTTCTTTATCCATTACATTTTATCAGGCAATGAGTACACTGTATATTACTTCCTCTTATTATATGATTATAAAATATTGAATGTGAATCTAGTATATATATATATATATATATATATATATATATATATATATATATATATATATATATATATATATATATATATATATATATATATATAGATAGATAATAGATAGATAGATAGATAGATAGATAGATAGATAGATAGATAGATAGATAGATAGATAGATAGATAGATAGATAGATAGATAGATAGATAGATAGATAGATAGATAGATAGATAGATAGATAGATAGATAGATAGATAGATAGATAGATAGATAGATAGATAGATAGATAGATAGATAGATAGATAGATAGATAGATAGATAGATAGATAGATAGATAGATAGATAGATAGATAGATAGATAGATAGATAGATAGATAGATAGATAGATAGATAGATAGATAGATAGATAGATAGATAGATAGATAGATAGATAGATAGATAGATAGATAGATAGATAGATAGATAGATAGATAGATAGATAGATAGATAGATAGATAGATAGATAGATAGATAGATAGATAGATAGATAGATAGATAGATAGATAGATAGATAGATAGATAGATAGATAGATAGATAGATAGATAGATAGATAGATAGATAGATAGATAGATAGATAGATAGATAGATAGATAGATAGATAGATAGATAGATAGATAGATAGATAGATGTTCCATAATAAGTAAATTGTGACCGTATTCAAAGAAAACTAGAATAATTGATAACTAGTTTGACCACGTTTTAAATATGTGTCTATGTCAACTCTCCTCTTGATTCATAATATTTATATGTTTTACTGGGGTTTTTTGCGATGTCATTGAAAATCATAGTCATATGAACTGATGAATTATTAGTTTGACAACCTTAATTGCTGGAACTCATCATCACCTCTTATGGTGGATTCACTGAGATTTGTATAAATCTGTCAACACTATTTTTGGGTACATGAATATCGTATTCACTAATTGTTGCATACAAGTTAAACTAGGGTTTCATCTTCATTAGGGCTTATTAGACTTATTTACTTCCATCTATGTTTCAATTATACACTCCACGACGTGATGTTGTAGACTATTCAACTAAAAAAACTTGTTTCTTACATTACATTTAAAGCAAAAAACCACTTGTAGGAATATATATTTCATTCTTTTCTAGGCGATCTTTATTTACTTCATAACCGAAATTGAGTCAATAAATTTAATTCGTATGGTAGCGACAAAGTCATTCGATATTTTAGTCCAACTTTATCAAAACTCATTTGTTCCTAAAATCTCCATATTTTTATGGAAAAAATGTAGCATATGTCTCGATATTTCGATTAAAAGCCATTCCGTAGATATTAACCAGTTTAGAAAGGTGAATCGCTTCGTAAAGATCACTACGATTGTTTCTTCATCCCTAAATAAAACACGCATATATTTCAAATCTCTTAACAAGATTATTGTATTATACGATAAGTGATTTATTGGGTCTCAACTCAGACTTTGAGTGATGGTGTACTATTCATGAAACTTGATTCCTCTGTGTTTCATATGTTAAACAGGTTCTTACTTTGGCCTCCCTATTTAGTACAAAACAACCATTTTGGTGTTCTCTAGTTTCCATCAGTTAACTGTTCAAGTGAATTACTCTTAAAAAATCTATCTTGTCAAAGCTGTCATTGTCTTAAGAATGATTATTATAAATGCCAAAAGAAAATTGTCTCTTATAATCTATTATGACTGTTTGTCTGATTATGTCTCCTGCGTTTTATAACAACTTTTCAGTAAAACATTTTATGACTAAGATCATGAACCGATTGATGTTAGACCACATTTGGAAACCTGGAAGCATTGGACGGCCGTTTCGTCCTATTGTGGGACTCCTCGGCGGTGCGCATCCACGATCCCGCTCGCGGGACCCGAACCCAGGGCCTGCGGTCTCGTACGCGAATGCTTAACCTACTGGACCACTGAGCTGGCATCCAATGGTGATAGTGTCTAACATCAACCAATCCACGAAATTGCGCGACCAACTTCCATTGTACTGAGGTAGATACCTGTCTCTACCCGACAATAGGACGAAACGGTCGTCCAGTGCTTCCAGGTTTCCAACGGTGGTCTAACATCAATCAGTTCATGATCTCAATCAAAAACTTAATAATCTCCACAACCCCTATGCTAGTAAAACATTTTACTTTTAATCAACAAACTACTTGTAAGTAGCCACTACAAAAATATATATAAAAGCATACGACATATATAATTTATTGCTGAATTAAAAACATTTAAGAAAAAATAATTTTTAAACCAGAATAGAATAAAAAGTAAATTAACAAAAGAAATTTTTTGTCACAATTCTTTCATATTCAATGTTGCAAGTGATTCAATCCATAAATAATGTTTTAATACATCTATTGAAATTGTTTTATTTCCTGATATATATAAATGTATTATTTTTTCATTTTCATTTATTAAATGAAAACCATTTATTGAAAACCAAAATTCTACATCAATTCTTGGATCTATATCTAAATTAATAAATAATTCTGGTGATTTAGATTCAATTATAATTTCATAAATATGATTAGTTAAAAATGGTGCCATTTTTTGAATTTTTAATAAATTATTCATTATATTCAATAATTTGATTGATTTGATTTGTAAAGTTTTTCCAGCATTTTTAGGCCATATTTTAATTTGTATTGGTTTATCTAATAATAATAAATTTCTATCAGATATTATAGAATATAAATTATTTCTTATAATAATTTGAATTATTCTACCATTTCTATAATTAAAATGACATAATTTATTTAAATCATTTAAAGATTTATTTAATATATTTATTGGACATTGAATATAATGTTTTATAGAAATATTTAAAATTTCACGATATGTTGGTATAAATGACCAAATTGTATAACAAATTAATTCAAATTCAATAGGAAATAAATTATTATGATTTGTATTTGGTATCCAATCAGCTTCAATTATTTCATTATTATGATGTATAGCTATACGTCCCCATTTTGTTAGATCATAATATTCTTTTATAGCATTATAATGTGATAATTTCCATTGACCAACTGAATCTATAGTTGACCAACTAGGTGTTGACCAAATATCATTTAATTGCCAATATATTGTACCCATTGTAATAAATTTATCAGTTGATATAATTGTAAAATTTGTTAATTTTAATCGACATTTATGCCTCATGTATAAATTGATTTGAGTACGTAAACACATGAGTTGATTTAATTGACTTACATATGCCCATCTAAAGTAAATAATAATAATAATCATTTCATTATTAATTATATGCTAATTTTAACTATTAACGGTATATTTACTTAAGAGATCTCAATTAAAAACTTGTCCACAAATGCCTTGGTACGGCTGAGAGTGGGGAGAGTTCACTCTCCTTCTCGGAATGCTCTCACATGACCATGCGTACATAGCTTCTGTCAGGGAAGTCCTACTCACTGCCTTCTCGCAGCATTACTGTTGTTTACGAAATTAAGAGGACGAAAAGCGAATGTCCGGCGATTTAACTAGGCCGGTGGAAACGGTGAGTCCACCTAAAGGAGTTGGAAAACCCTCATTCCAAACCAATGGTGCACATGGGCTCCAGTATCCTGAAGGAACAAATGGCGTATGAACCAATCTTTGGTCAATGGCTTCCATGGGACTGCATCTCCTTACAATGCTTCACTACTTTGTGGATCAGACCTTTTGGTCGAAGACTGCAAGTGTGGCCCCCTAAGAAAACCATCTGCTTCGGTTTGGGCACCCTGGCAGTATCACAGCCCTCACACATATCAAATGAGATTTGTGTGGCGCATATCTATTTGGTGCATCCTTGTACCAATATCTATGTGTTAAAATAAATAAATAATCAAAAACTTAATAATCTCCACAACTCCTATACTGATAGTTATCACTAGTGACTAGATTCATGAGGGCATTCTCGAAGTTCTAGTGACCAGTGGAGCTAATCCGTGTCGGGTAGAGACAAGTAATCACCTCAGTATAATGGAAGATGGTCGCGCAATTTCGTGGATTGGTTGATGTTAGACACTATCACCATTGGATGCCGGCTCAGTGGTCCAGTAGGTTAAGCATTCGCACGCGAGACCGAAGGGCCTGGGTTCGAATCTCGCAAGTGGGATCGTGCACTGCTGAGGAGTCCCACAATAGGACGAAACGGTCTTCCAGTGCTTCCAGGTGTTAAATGATGGTCTAACATTAATCGGTTAATGATCTCAACTAAATACTTAAGTGATTTTTATCTAAACAACTATACATAATCAAATATTTAATTATTACTTATTCTCAACATAGTTCATTTTAGTATTAATCTAACAAAACTCTTGTTTAACACTTTGAAAAATGTAATATGATAACCTTGATTCATAACAACTTAAATTGATTTCTGAATTGTAGATTTGATCTTTAGAAATGATCAAAAATGTATACTACGTAGAACTGTAAAAACAGAATATAATAAATTCTTAATTACATATTATTATCTATTAGTATTGACTTAGCTTCATTCAATACTAATAATTAATCAACTTATAGTCTTTTTTCATTCAAAGATATAAATGAAGATATTTTCAGTTAGCCCTTTTAACCAATATATATATATATATATATATATATATATATATATATATATATATATAGGCAAGATACTACAAAATAGGAAAAGTAACTGTAATCAGTAATAGTATGTTCTATTTTGAAGGGACATAAAAAAATAACAGATTACCCCATTCTAGCATAAATTAGGTCAACAAATTGGATTAACTCAGCAAATAACATATTTAGTTGACTAAAGTTAACTTGTTCTCTTTAGAGCTTATTGCTCGTTAATCTTTATACTAATTGACTCGATAATCCCTACTGTACAGGATTCATATAATTATACATACACTTTTGAACAAACTGTGAAACACAAATTAATTCAATATTCATCTTACCGACTGTAATTACGAATCGGATCTTGTCTATTTGCTGGTTCCGTAATATACTCAAGCGCTAATCTGAGCATTTGATGACCTAATTGATGATGTTGTCTATGGTCCATCAGTGAACCGAATACATCCCATTGTTTTGGATTCGATATATTTGAAATTGATCTGGCCCAAGCTAATGGAGACGGAATAGATTGTATGCCGAATTCTGATATAAAACGTCCTAGTACATAATTAGATTCTGACCATAAATCACCAGAATACGTGTAATAATGTATATCACCATATAGTGGGTTCTGCAGAATAATAAAAATACCCAAATTTATCTATATGTATTCACAAATCTTCCACCAAATACAGTGGAAGATCATCGTGTAATATTGTAGATTGATTGAAGTTAAATATGAACACCTCTAGGTCCCGGCTCAGTGATCTAGAGGTTCAGTGCTTACGCGCGAGACCGAAGTTCCTGGTTCTAGGTTCGATTCCCGCGTGTGTAATCATGATTTCGCACTGCTAGTGAATCCTACACCAGGATGAAACGGCCATACATGAGTTCCTGGTTTTCAACGGTGGTCCAATACTGATCGGTTCACAACTTCAATGAAACTCAATAATCTTCACTTGTCTATACTTAAAATTTGAAATACACTGACAAGTCAGTCAAGTAACGTAATTCCAAATGCCAAAATATTCCAGTTGGTGAAATCAAAGACATTGATTGTTTCAACGTTTGACGAACTTCTAGTACTGTGTTATAAATAACACAGTCGTCAGTAAAGTTAACTATCAAAATTGTTTGTGTATATTCCGTCATCAATCCACATTATTTGGATTCTACAAAATTATAGTTATGTAAGTGTTAAACTAATCATTTTGTATTGCGTAGAATTAAACATCGGTATTCATACAATGACTATCTTTCATACTAAATAGAACAGCAATGATTGCCATACTTTTGTCGTTCTAAATCGATTTCATAATCTCTTGTATTAGTCACTAGATTGTAAATAGTCTGCATAATCCCGTTTTAGCAGTACAGACCGAATATATATAACAGTGATTATTACGTACTAAAAGTTGTGATACTTGTCTTATTTTTCTTAAGAAATTTCACCAATGAACAATGATAAAATAACCTTTGGTCTTTCTTACGAATCGCCAATTAATGAACTTTCAAATGAAACTTCACTGTTCTCTCTTACTGAATTTTAATCAATAAAATTATTATTATAATTGACTTCAAATAATTGATTGGTTACTAAAAGTGTTGATTATGAATCTGTACAAACGAGTAAACAACAAACTATTTATGTTAACCGACTAGACAGTGAACATCTGAAGTTAAAATCAATTATCTCACACGCTATGGTATAGTTTGAAAAGTTTTCACCAACTTATAGTTTGATCATACTATGGTGAATGTTACATATATTGACAGGAATAAGTAGTATGTAAAATTAATCAGAAGTGGAGTGCCCGGTAACAGAAGGTTAAGAAGATCAAGTTGGAAAGAAAAGGAATGTAAACAGAGAGTAATCATAATAACAATAGGAATGAAAGAATGATGAAGTTTTTAAGAGATAATTGATAGAAAACTGCAAATGAAGTATTTAATATATGGTTTTTATATTTTGTGAAGATATTGGTCTTCCCCGCCTGAGTGTTCATACACTGCTATGTCATCTATCAGTTGAAATCAATTCGTGAAACATAGGTTGAGTACAAGGAAGTATCCAACAACTGAATGATCAGCAACTAATCAAACTACCTTAAATTCACCTTTGTAATCTATGTCTGGGAAAATACTAAGAATAAAAATTTATGACTCGTAAATCGATCTAATACTACTGTCAACTCAATTTAAGTCAGTACTCCACCATAAACTTGGAGACTCGATTAAATAACATCTGATGTAGTTGGAATATATATTTGTTTTCAATCCCAATTTAATTGATCTCACAGATTACGGCTTGTCATTACAACTATATTGGAAAATTTAGTATAATGCACCAGATTTGAGTAGACTGATTTAGTATGAACATCTAATTCGTTATTGATATAAACTGGAGAAAGGATGAAAATGACGTTATCTTCTATAATCTCAACATCAATCAGTCAAATAGTTTATACCTGGTTGCAGATAAAAAGTTAGAGTAGTTTTTTCTGATAGACCGATCCGATTAGTTTACATCTTTTTAACAGCATCGCCATACCGAACGATAAGTGACTTATTTCTCGATGAATTCACTAGGACACCTATTATCAAGATTTTATTCATCATATACAAACACCAAAAATAAATGAAATTTTGGCGAAATCTCTGTCAAAATTACCTACAGAGTATCCTTTCCTCCTTTTATAATATCTGTATAGTTCCAGGATATAATATACTTGGTTTTAAATCGACCCTTATTCAATTCAGACTGTCAACGTTAAATAACTTGATTACTATAAAGGTACTTTACACCTCAATGAAATAAAAAACCAGAATGGTTTAGTTAGTATATTGTATGTGAATGTAAGTTAGCACTGTAACTAATTCACAAATTTGTTTCGGATCCAGTTAAAGATGAAGAGTTTGGTGTTACATTAAATGTCAATACTAGTAATATAATATTTAGAATTAAAGATTTCATAAATCTTTATCATGAGTGGTTGGTGTATGTGATTCTGGTAATACTTTTACCTAGTAATGCTTTCCAACTTCAGTCAACTAACCTTCGGAAAAACTTGAAATCGTTCATTTTTATCAAATCTAGTTATACTTACCCCTCTAAATAATTTTGAAAATGTGTCAAACTTTTTTTCGTAAAGTTGTGCCGGCTATGATGCCTAGAGTGAATTAAGCTAAAATACCATTTATACTGTTGGTACATTTGCCTGTTTTATTATAAACAGTTACGTGTATAAACCTGATATCAAGCCAAATATCGTAAACTTTATTGTAAATTGTAAATACTATTTGTTAACTAAATTCATGGTACTACCTACATCTGGGTCCGGATCCAATCCTTTGAATTTCTCTGTTAGATATCCATTACTAGGTGAAGAGATAAGACATCTTCTAGGTTTATATTTTGAAGTTTCCCAACGTCTGGCTGAACTTCGACCATTCTCTTCGTCATTGATCACATTAAATATTGACTCGACAAATCTAGATTTAAATATACTTAATAATGTTGAATCCATCGGTGGACCATACCAACCATTTGCAATAGCTTGCTTCACTTCATTATCTGTCGACCAAACTATAATAGATGGATGATAGTGTAATCGTGATATTTGCCTTGTGATTTCTTTTTCAACAGTATCATTTCTAATAGAAAAAAAGTCATATAGAAAAGAAATGTACATTTCTATTCAACCAAATAATTACCATTTTTAAAATTACATATAAACAGAGATGGATGGTGAATAGCAGTGTAATCCAGGGCGAGTGTTTTGTCCTATTTAGGACTCATCAGCCGGATGTGCCTGCATCCCAAAGTTGTTGTTCACTCTACCCAACTCTGCTTAGAATCCGTGTGATTTCAGGCAACATCGAGGAAATCCGCAAAGGATACCAATATAAGACTAATCAACTTCAGTCCCAAACATCAATGGGAAGACTCAATCAATACAAAAATGATTTAATACCTATAAATAGTTTACAACTCGATAGTTATAAGAGTAGTTTTAATTCAAATTGATATTTTTTACAGACTTGACTGGTATAACATTTTCGTTAAATATTCGTGTAGATTAAAGCCTGATGAAGATCTAATTGAAAACAATTGTTCGCTTATATGTGTTGTTCAAATTTGTTAGAATTAAAGTTTTATACCCTGAATCTTTGATAATAATCAAATACATATATCTTCTATACCATTGAATTTACCAATGTGTACCAGTTCAATAAACTTTATCGTCATATTCACCATAACATTTCTTAAGGGACTTAAACAAATTTATAAAATTTATAACTTAAGAAATTCTTTCCTGTTCATCTTAACTATTATTTAATCTTCAAAAATATTGGCTTCTATTAGCGGGAAATGACATTAGGCATCATTTAATCTCATCAGTTTTTTTGGAAATTATCTACAGTATACATTGATTTATACTCATTAACAACCCAATTCAGCTATATTCATCTATCAATTTCACTAAATGATACTAATATCCAATAAGCTATCAATCAATATTACTTAGCAATAATTCATTACTCGATCACTTCTGATCCAATTTTCATCAGACAGTGGAAAATCAAATGATGGTGAGTAAAAATTTACGGAACCATCAAAAAAATCTTTATTCACACAGAGAACATTATTCAGTGGTGTTCTTTTTTTAACTACATCTAAATTGAAGTGGATCAATAACGATATAAAATATCTCTCTGAATACTTTCTGACTCCCGCTAGTCACTTCAAACAATTCCAAAAGGTTCAAAAGTTTTAATAATGAGAATAATTAAAAGAAAGAAGCTTTTTATCAGAACGATAAATGAATATTAGTAACCAAAATGTAATGTCAGCTAAATTGATGTTGTTCAAAATTTACTAGATATAGAACTGGTATTAGTTAGATGACTACTGAAGACCATGGGGCATTAGATAGTTGTTTTGTCTTAGTATGGGATCCGTCCTCGGTGAACAACTACATCGAGCCTGGAACTTTCGAATCTCGTGAAGAGAGCTTAACCTCTAGACTACTGAGCCGGTATATAACAGTGTATATATCTAACTTCAATAAATTAGCAATATTACACAACTATCATCCATTATCTTTATAGAATAACTATCTCACACCAACTGTGGCTGAATTTTGTTAATCATAGTTTCTAATCAGAACTTAGGGAATCAGTTCTCTAAATTGGTTAATCGTGACCACATTATTATCAATAGGATAGAGTTTTATGAAGATTTGTGAATTTCTTAGATTACATCACATATGGATCATGATTGGACAACCACTGAAAACCAAGAAACTAATTATTTAATAGTTAACTGCATCTTTCATTGATTTCTAAAAAAATTCACCTTTCTTTATCTGGATAAGTAGCTACTGCAAACATCATATCATGCCATATCATCAAACCAAGCCTATCTGCTTCTTTATAAAATTCATCATCTTCATAACGTCCACCACCCCATATTCTTATTAAATTAATTCCTGATAGACTTGCTGAACGAAGAAGTCGTTTTTCTAACCAAATACGATCATTTGTTACATTATGCATTAAAATATACTGTCTACCTGGCATATATCTTGCAGGTATCCAATTAGCACCTGTTATGAAGATTGGCAAACCATTAATTTTAAAATAAAATGTTCGACCTAATTCAATGTGTGATGAATCCACATAATCCTAAAATTATACAATATAAAATGTAAACTCAGTATATTTTTTTAAATTTTTGTAATTATAAATGAACTCATTCTATGCTATATCAAAAGCAAAAAAACTTTATACTGGCCTATATATAACATTCACGAATCATAGTGCTAAATTATTACATTAAAATAGCACAGGAAAGTAGAAAGTGAATACAAACGTCAGCTAGTTACTGTCGAAATAAGAAGTGGGTAAATTAGATAAACATACTTAACAAAAAAAAGAAACTCTACGACTGATTTCGTAGAAATCCATGGATCACATTAATCTCAAGGCACAAAATAGTGAAGTTGTAGCACAAGTTTAGAGTCCACCGCTTCGTTTTAGACATACCAATGTCTTCGGTTAGCTGTTTAATGCATGTTAACCAGGAGCTCATAGTTATTCTAAAACCTTTTAATCTGATCTTCACTTTACATGAGCGCTAACACCCAATTGTTTCTATACATTTTCATGCAACCTTACAGAGTAGTACACAGATTGTCAATTACATTAAATAAATAAATGTTTATTTAATCAATAGAGTAAAATCTGTCAATATTTCTATACTATGTAATCATTCCCTGTATGAATAGTAATTTATTAATTTAAAACGAGTTAAGTAAATGTCACACCTCCAACAATGTAAATATTCTCTTAACCCTAATTTCATTCAGAAAGATCGCGTTTATAGGCAGAACCGATCGAATACAGTCAGCACAGTTGATCACCGTGAAAACTCTTTCTATTTCAGAGATACGTTTGCGTAAAATTACTAATCTACTGCTACCGACCCATTTAAACATTGTCTTGGTGATTCCTTTACAAGCCTTTTTATTTATATTTGGTCTTTAACTACTCATAAGTAGCCAAGGGATACAAATCCAAATGCTCCCTGTCAATTAAGAACAAATTTTAATTACCTTAAATTTTACTTCATACAGTTTTAAAACTAATCTACTTGAAAAATATGGCTAGTTATTTTTTAATTATTTAGTAATGCATGGGAAAGTCACTTCAGTTATTATATCCAGGATTTGATAATAAGGATTACAATGTATGATAGATAGATCAACACTGATACGTGAACTAAAACTATGTGTATCAACAAGAATTCGTAAATTACACTTTTCTAAGATCAGATTGGTGCAAATTGATGACTTTTAATTATTATAGTATCAACAAGTTCCGATTCGAAGTCTAGTAATGATCGCTTTTTAATTTTCATTTATCTATGAAATAGTCCCTGGTAGTTTCCCACTACCAATATTTACGTATTTAAATAATTAAAGTTGCGCGGATTAAACACATAGTTTACGTAGTCGAACGTCATTCGGAAGTATAAATGGAACGTACGATAGTAGCTGAATTCTGAAATTATACGTGAGTTAATAGAACAATAGGATATCAAATACTGACCGTAGGTAATAACATTGATTAAATTATAGTGCATAGTTGTACTACTGTTTCTGACGATTCACGTGTGAATGATGATTACTTCATTCATTTCACAATTTACCCTTTCCAATTCTAGCTGTTTTTAATTGTAAAAGCTGTACTCCATATGTACTATACTCCTGATTTCAAAACCCATAATTTTTCGTTTTATTAATGTATGGTTTTATTATTTCGAACTCCTGTTACGATAAAGGTATACATATACATAGTGTAATGTTTATTGAGAATAATAAAAACACTAATTTCTTTACCAACTCTACATTTGCAGAATTCTTCTTTAAAGTTGTAAACAAGTGAAAGATACCCAACATAATCACAACATTTAAATATAAGTTAGGTGATGTGTACCTCAGAAGTAAATACACTGAATAGTATCCTGAAGAAGTAAAATACAGTTATAAGATTTCGTTTAGATTAATATGCCATAGACATATGTTCCGTACTAATAATCTATTCGATCAATAATCGGCTTCTTGAAAACTTGAGCTGCGGTAACACCTATGAATTGGAACTGCTGCAACTCTCTTTGTGGTTACTGAAAAACTATCAAATTCTTCAAGATCTTAAAAACACTTTTGTAATGAGTATCAACTAGCATTAAAACTGCGCTTGAGATTTCTTGCTGATCCCCTTCAACCATTAAACATCGAAAAATGTTCAACACCGTTTCAAGCCACTTAGTTTATCCACTACATCGTAAACGTCATTGGTAGAGTCCAACTAATATCAAAGCCTATACAAAACGTAACTGCTTACTAACCAATAACCGGTTAGTGAAATTAAAAGCAAAAGATACATTTAATTCGCAGGTATTCATTCACAAACATTCTCATTGCCCTGATGAGTTATTCGCAGTATATAAATCACTCATTTATTTCCATGAATTACTATTACCTCTGTATAATGCGTTTTACTACTTTCCTTAATTTAAACAATAATATTATGATTTTATATCATAAGCCTCCGTTATTATACTTGCTTAATTTTCTATATCCTTCGGATTATTTTCTCACGTACGAGAGATTTGTGGAGATGATTCGATCTTATAGATCACATCACAGACTGACCTTAGTTAAGTAACCATTATGAATAAAAATATGCCACATTTTATTCACTTATTTATCTACTGAGCTATCGGTACACATAAAGCTGGCTCTCGAGCTTAGTCTGCGAATCGATTTCCTCAGTTGACTCAGTCGAATTGGCTTACAAATTATTCCACGTAGTAGTATGATAAAAAGGCAGCTCTTTCACAGTAGATATGAAAGAAATATCCATAGCTTAATAGTACAGGGGTTAGAGACTAAAAATAGTTATTATACTATTGACTTACCATTATCTAGACTGTAGAAAGTTTTTAGTTATTAGTGATTTTTTGACTAGTTGATGATGCGTAACAATCAAATGATTTTGTTCTTTTTAAATCCCATCAGTTGAAGCCGCCTACTACTATAGCTGTCTTTGCTTCTTCAAACCGACTCGTAAAATAAGAGGTTGGACATTGTCGATCAAAACCTAAAGCACTGGGATCGAGTCCCGTGTGAGGGATCGTAGATGCGTACTGTTGAAGAGTCTCGTACTAAATGAAATGGCCATCAAGCACTTCTGGGTTTTCAGTGGTGGTTTAACATGGATTGGTTCATGGTCTTAATTAAAACTCGATAATCTCCACAACCCTGTACTGATAAATCAACTTTGATTGAATAATTCAGTCATCATACACAAATCGTAAATAAAAACATACCTCAATTAACTCCACTTCACGAAAACCTATTGAATATTCTTTTTTATCAACAATCTTGTTGGAACCAACTGTTAAGTAGAGTACTAATGTATAAAGATATGGTCCAGTCTCCGTACCAATAGGCCACCATAATTTAACTTTTGATTGATTACGTAACACTTCCATAGTGATCATTTCATTTTCCATTCCAAACACTTTCTTCCAAATACATTTAATTCTTCGATATATGAATAGATACATGCTTTTGACAGACGATCGTATGACGGCATATTGCCTACAATTTCTACATCAATTTCAGCACTCCATAATTTAAATTGATCATGCTGTGAATAAGCATAGAATTTAAATCTTTCACCGAATCTTAAACCTGAAGGTGAAACTACCAACTGAGGTAATGTCCATAATCCTTGAATAGGTAAAGTTAATCCCCAATCCCAACCAAATATTGATTGTGTTGTCCTAACAAGATTTACATGACATTCACCATGAAATCTAGATGGCCAACAAAATGGTGGTGGAATCATTTTCTTTCTAACTTTCATTAGTTCCGCTTTTTTCTTTGCTATTAATACAGTTGATATACATTTTATTTCTAATATATTTATTCGTTTTAAGTTTAATAAATGATTAATTTTCCATGTATATGATAAAAAACTATTCTCTGTAACTCCTAATAAATGATTATTTAAAATGATCTCACAAAATGTATCTATACCATCTATATATAATTCTATAGTATTATTTAAATTGAATTGTTCAATGATAAAAATCTTAGTAAATGTCCAATTATCATATGCTATCCATCTTAATTTTACATCATTATCATCAATGAAAGGATTATTATTATTATTATCAATTATCCATTGTGTACTATAACTATCTATACCAAATTTTGTATAAATTTGTTTTGATATAGTTTGATTAGAAATTATCCAATTCCCAATTAATGGTATCCATTTTGTTTCTATATTTTGAATTGATAATACAGTTGAAATATAAATGAAATTATAAAATATTAAAAAGAAATATTGAATAAAATTAGACATCATTTATTATTATAATGATAATTGATTATTATGATATATAAACCGATCATTGAATTATACATAATTGTTTTAATCAGGTTAATGTCATGTATAAAATATACATTTAAAATATAGTTAAATTAATAATTTTAAATCGAATGTTTTAATTGATTAATTTTGTTTGTTTGTTTGTTTGTTTTTTTCAAATTTAATAATTCACTAGTTTAAATTAATATGATTGGTTAAAACAAGGTCATCTGATTTAGTTTATAGACAATTGATCTAAGTTGGGTTAATTATTTATTGATTTATATTTAATAAAATATAGAACTTAATTATATAGATTAACTAATTTAATAGTTGAATTCATTAGTTGATTACAACTAGATCACTATAGAAAATCATCGAATACTTCCAGGTTTTCCATGGTGATCATGAATCCGACCATTAAATTACTACAATCTCTATAAAACCCTATATCTGATTTTAAATAATTGTAAATATTTTATATTGAGTAAACGACTATATTATTCGAAAAAATCGAAGAATTAGTGTATCATTTTACTGAAAATCATTATGAATTCTTCAATCCAATCTGTCCTAGGCCTTCCTTTCCAGATCTGTCCAATTTTTGTTCACTCTTCTCATATCTGTCTCAATTTCTCCGCCTAATGTGTTCTTTGGTCTTCCTCTTCTTCTTTGGCCTTGAGGATTCCATGTGAGGACTTGCCTTGTGACGCAGTTTGATGCTTTCTTCAATGTGTGTCCGATTCGCTTCCTGATTTCTTCCCCCACTAGAATCTGGTTTGTTTACATCTTCCAAATCTCATCCGTTAAGTATGATGCGATTGAGGAATGATGTGTTGTTTTTCCCTTTATGTATGTTGAGACATACTGCTGCTGAGGCTGCTGCTACACTGGTCGTCTTCTCCTGCATTTGCTGTTGCGTGTGAGATAGAAGAGACAGATCATCTGCGAAGCCTAGATCATCCAGCTGCATCCTAGCTGTCCACTATATTCCATGCTTCCCTCAGATGTCGACGTCTTCATGATCCAGTCGATCACCAGGAGAAAGAGAAAGGGTGAGAGTAAGAAACCTTGCTTGACACCGCTCTTTACTTCGAACGAGTTTGTCAATTGTCCTTCATGCACGATTTTACAGTTTGATCCGTCATAGGAATTCCGCATGATATTGACTATCTTCTGAGGCACGCCGTAGTGTCGAAGAAGCTTCCATAGTGTGGTCCTGTCCACGCTATCAAATGCCTTTTCGCAGTCAATGAAGTTGATGTAGAGTGATGAATTCCATTCAGTTGATTGTTCCACAATGATCCGTAGAGTTGCGATTTGGTCTGTACACGATCGATCCTTACGGAATCCTGCCTGTTGGTCTCGAAGTTGGGCGTCTACGCAGTCCTTCATCTTGTTTAACAATACCTTGTTGAAGACTTTTCCCGGTATTGAGAGAAGAGTGATGCCCCTGTAGTTATCACAGTTGCTGAGATCGCCTTTCTTCGGTATTTTGATCAGAAGTCCTTCTTTCCAGTCTTTTGGTACTTGTTCCTCATCCCAAATCTTGCTGAAGAGAATGTGGAGTATCCTTGCAGTTGCCGTTACGTCTGCTTTTAGTGCCTCTGCTGGAATGTTGTCCGGTCCTGCTGCTTTTCCACTCTTGATTTGTCTGATGGCCATGCTGATTTCTTCAATTGTTGGTGGGCCAACATTGATTGGAAGGTCCGTGGGTGCTGCTTCGATGTTGAGTGGGTTCAGTGGAGCTGGTCGATTCAAGAGTTCTTTGAAGTGTTCTACCCACCTGTTTTGTTGTTCTTCAACGTTGGTGATTACCTCGCCTTCCTTGCTTTTCACTGGTCGTTCTGGTTTACGATAATTTCCAGAGAGTTTCTTTGTTGTATCATACAGTTGTCTCATGTTTCCTTCTGTTTCAGCCTTTTCTGCCGTCATTACTAGATCTCCCACATACTTATGTTTGTCGGCTCTGATGCTCCTCTCCACCTGCTTGTTTACTTCTGTGCATTCAGCTTGTGCCCATACTAGAACAAAATGGTCGTTTAGTGCCTCTAGCTTTTCAGTGATGGACTAACATGGATCGATTAATGATCTCAACAACCTACAGAACCTTATACTGATAATATTTTTTTTATTACCAAGTTGTTGAAATTGTCGGAAGGCAACTTTAATTCTAGCGAAACCCTACCTCACTGATAATAAGTATTAGAATGATCACACATTAATTTAATCTTTGATATCTAAGCAAATTAAATTCATACACACATAGGATGGGTCACTGGATTTTTTGGAGGTGAATTACCTTTCTAATTATATTCAACTTATTTACTTACTATCAATTAATTGATTACATTATATCATTTATTCTCTGGTTTGTTTATCAATAATCTACCATTTTTGTGCATTCATTCATTCATACATGCATGTATTTTTGGACTGTTTTCTATGCTGGTTACTAGGACCAAACATAATTATTCGCTTATATTTATTGCCTTAGTATATGAGTACCACTTACTTATCATCAATTCATCATCTCCTTAGTAAATTATTAAGAATACAGTTTGTTTTTTTTTTTGTTTTATACAAAAACGTCTCTCCATCGATATTCATTTTAAATATATACAAAATAAAACAAAACTGTAACATTACAAAGAAGAAATTGGCAAATTAATTACAGGTAGGCATTTAAAGTATTAAGCCAAAATGAAAATGGGAAAGAAAAGAAAAGCAAACAACAACAATCTTCAACTGAACAAAATGCAAATCTCACATAAAACATACTTCGACAGGTGTTAAAAACTAACTAATCAACTAAATAAATAAATAAAACCTTATTGAAACTCTTCATAAAACTGTACTACACTTAGTAGCTATGGTAATATTTATTATTATTATTATTATTATCGTTTCACATCTTCATTTCATAAAATTATCTCATATGTATCCATGTCCGTATGTATAAATGTGTATATATTTTATCTTTTTAACACTGACTTTATCATTTACAGAACCTATCATTTTTATTTATATTTATAGAAGAGGTGAACACTTTATGGTGAATGGATTTATACTAAGAAAAGCACATACATGAGATGGGCAAGCATTGGAATATGTATATAGGTATATCTTTTTGACTTGGTTGATGAATGAAATTTGAAATGTTTAGCTAATAATATTATATAGTTGATTTAAACAAATTAGCACAAATGAAGATATACATATCAGGTCATTAAGTCAATGATGACTTATAGAAACCATAATTTCATACTTTATACATTTAAAACATAAATGAGTCATAAATAGTTGTGTTTAATCAATGTTATTATAAACATATAACTAAGGAAAATCGCAATAATGTTTTCCACATTAAACTAAAAACTGAATGTGTCAAACTAATTATTATTACTATCATTATTGTTATTATTATTATTGTATATTTAATTAACAATATCAGTTGGTGATTTGTTTTATTCGATTAATCTTAATTAATTTATTATATATATATATGTATTACTACATACAATAACTCTTCATGCAGTACACTATGTATATATATTCTTCTTTTTGATAGATATATTTCTTCATAACTTTGTTTAACCTTGCAAATGATACATCAAAATAATGAATGAATGAATGAATGAATGAACATGGTTTAGTCATACTTTGTTTGGGCAACTAATGAATCAGTACATATATATAAGTATAATTCTTATTTAAAAGTTCATAACTCAGACAGTAATTACAAAGTACATAAATATATATCCAAATTCCGTATTCGTTATAAATGAAATATAAATACATCATTTTGTATAATTTCTATGTATTACTTAGGTAATAATGTAAGGAACATTCGAATTGCAAAAGAAATAATATTCTTAATCTTTTTATTTTTTCTTTTTGAATTTAAATAATTCTCAAAATAAAGAAGGAACGAATTGAGTGAAGAAATTTCTTTTCAATTCTATTTTGAATTCAAAAGAGATTCGTACAACCACTTTCTCTGCCCTGGCCATCAGTATAAGATTTCCTTCAAAAGAACTATTTTTCATACTTCTTCCAGTTGTTTTTTTTTGTTTTTTAACTTTTGTAATTTTGTTTCTGTTGCTTTTGAACTTAATAACTTCTCAACATTCATCTCTTGATTCTTACGTAACTACTATCCTATTGACCATCCATTAAAAAATTCTGTTCCTCCTCTTTTCATATTTTACGCAACGTAGCAACGTCTTGATTTTCGAATAATTACTTTGATTATTAATAATCCTCTTTCTTCTAATTACTCAATGTTAACTTAAATGTCATTATGTAATTATTACGTAACGTATCCACTAGATGAGTATTATATCATTATTGTAAATCGTATGTATATTAGTGTAGAGCCATGATGAAAAACTAATTGAAAAGAAATTTTGTTCGCTCAATTCGTTTCTTCTTTATTTACCAAATGGCAAAATGGGGATTTTCACTATAAATTCTCATAATAATATCAGTTTATGATAAGTATGACCTTCAAATTATGTATTGTACGTTGAAACTTATCTATATTATTCAATCAGTTGTTGAAAGTGAATATCATTCTAATTTAATACTCATTCAATAGTAAGATTTCATTGTATTTCTTTAGATATCACTATATGAATTGATTTGAGTGAACATGAAGTCCTTCAATTGATTTTTGTACTAAAATATAAAAATAGTTAACTATGGTTGAAATCAATTCAATTCTCCAATAGAATACCGACTAATTTCATACTACTTACATTAGTTAGTATTTATTCTCAAATACTCAAGTAGTATTTATTAAATTTGTCTCAAGTTAGATTTTACTCATCGTTTGTTACCAATCAAACGTAAATATGTAAAAAAAAAGTGAAAAGTACACTCAATTCTGAATAATTCCAATCAGTTTTCGGGGTTATCCCCTTGTAACATCGAAAATGGTTAGTGGGAGCAAATATGCAACTCAGTAATTTAAATTAAATCTGATAACATTGTAAACTGCCTATTGTATTCAGTTAATGATTAGTTCATATTAACTACTGTCTAATTCCATTTATTCAAATTCACCTACT